GCCGCCGTGCCCGGCTCCGGAGGGTGGAAGCCCGCGCGCAGGAAGTGGCTGAGCGGGCGGGCGGCGCGCACTTTGGGCGTTCGCGGCTGCGCGGGCGCCTTGCGGCTGCGGGTGCCGCGCCTGCGTGGCAAGTAGCGAGTCGTGCACCAAGAGCTCGTGTTCGAAAATGCATCTACGATGAGCACACAACATCACCGCGAAAATATTTCTTTCTGCATTAAAAAAGCATTTAGCATTTTAAAAGAACCTTTTCTGTTACAAAAAAGTCTTTCATAATCAGCACAAATGAAGACGAATTAGATTTTACATCACAAATGATTGCGTCATCACACATTAAGCCACTCGTAGCGAGATAATCGGGGGGAGGTAGAGCTAAACGGAACAGACGACCACCGTTTACTCGCACGATACCAAATACCCGAGTCGTCACAAAATTAAGTTTGATTCTCTTATAAATGTATAATGCTGTTATACCAAAAATATAGTATACAACTAGTTTGTAATGTTGCTTTATTACGTTCGTACAAATTTATTACCATTTTTATTATTATTATTATTATTATTATTATTATTATTATTATTATTATTATTATTATTATTATTCCTTTACGTCTGAAGATGTTGAGAGTCGGTGGAATATAAAATAAATTCCAGGTAGCAACTAGCTTTCTAACGAACAGATTTAGAGACAGTCGATGCCTCTACAATACTTTGCGCTAAATATGGACTGATCCAAATAAAGCAATATCTTCCCAGTCATTTGAAAGACCTGGGAGTTTACCCAAGTTCTTACGCAAATATTGCGTAACAGATCCCAGAGTTAATTTTCATTTTGTGCAATACTTGCCCTTATACATAGAGTTGAATATGGAAATGATTTGTATTGGCAGATACCAACAATTTTCATTTGTCATATTCTCGTTATCTGCTGCCTTGATGTCACGAGTACACATTACCAAGTACCGTTAACTTGCATGTTATTCGATAACGATTTATTATTCATAAAATTATATTCATAAAAATAAAATTCAGTGCAATATCCTATAAAATTCAGTGTACTTTCCTATGTCTTCTTTGCAATTATGTATTATTATTATTATTATTATTATTATTATTATTATTATTATTATTATTATTATTATTATATGCAGTGCAGTGGCGTGAAGTGCAGTGACGTTGTGTAACTGAGAGAAACGAGTGAGTAAGAAAGACATTACAGCTCGCTGTATCGCAGTGCGGTGATGTGTGGTGAAGTGAAGTTTGGTGAAGTGGAGTTCTATGAAAGATTGCACGGTGAAATGTTTATGTGATTTTGTAAAGTTTGTAGAGCTTGTATAGTTGTTAAGTTCTGTAATGTTAAGTTAGTGTATTCTGCCACCAAGTTCTCACACTTAATAGCAGAATTATTAATAAATCTAATATAATAAAACAATTGGGAATTGAAAGAAAGGTAGTAACTTGAAATGGTGATATTTATAATGAAGGCAGAATATGTGAATGGCACAAGGGTTAAGAACGCTGATAATTTTAAAGAATCTTCAACGACTTGTTATTTGCTGGATTGACTGTCTATAGATTCCTAGAGTCAATAGATGGGCGTCTCTCAGATCGGAGTGTTGGCGCTGATCACAAATGGTGCTCCATAGTGGTAAAAAAACGTTTGGTAAAATAATAGAAAATTATTTTAGGTATTTAGGATTTTAACAAAAGTTCGTTTTTATTTCCAAATTCTTCTTTGCTCATAACGAATAGGAACACAAAATAGACAAAAACCATAAGGGGTATAGGATGATCAGGTATAGGAGGAGGTATGGGTGTAGTAAATAGGTATGGGAAAAGTAGACGTGTGTATCACTGGGTTAAAAAATGCCGATTTGTGGCAGTAAACATTTATTTTCCAATTACGTGCGCACATTGCAATACATACAGTTGATTGCAATTCAATACGTAGTATACGTCGAACAATTAATTTCTTTAAAATAACAATTAATTATTGAACTGTCAGAAGGTTTGAAAGAGATATACAATTAATGGATGTGACTAATGGTTCGAAGAATTACAGATACGAGAATGTAAGAACACAGGCAAGTGCTGATACTTATTTGCCATTGAAAATTGCTTTTATTACTTAGGAGGGAATATTGTGTTATCGAATCTTGCCAAGAACGGTCGTCGCTAGTTAACTTAATACAGTATCTGAGCAAGAGTGTGGATACCAGATCTGAACAAAACATGCAAAAATTGCATTTCTTCCCCATTCTGTATTAAGCATTTTTGAAACATTTTTGTCGTTAAACAAATATTATCAATGTTCTAAATTCTAAATGAAATGAATATCGAAGGCTCACTCGTGTCTAGTGGCAACGTTCATCTAATGTAGGCATTGACGTGGGAGAAGGGAGGAAATTTTGAAAAGGACTTCGCAGCCACATGTAAGAAAAACTTTTATTTCCGTAAATATGTTCAACTCTTGATTTTCACCATTTTAAACTGGCAATTGTTATGTGAATGTCATGTTATGTGAGAGGCAGAGTGTCTTCAAGCCATCTGACAGCCTGAAAATAGCTCTGGCATTCGCCTGGTGTTGATCGGAGAAACCACGGAAAACTGCCCATGAGAGCAGCCGGTTACAAGAATTCCTCTCCTCACAATTACTGAATTCGACTTATCTATTTAGTTTGAGTCGAAAACCCTGTCAGCGTCAGGACTCGAACCTCTGACCACCCGGTCAGATTTGATGCCCTGAGCAACCTCTCCCCGTTGGACATTATGAGTTGCCCACCAACCAGGGAAAATGTCACATGTGTAATTTCATTCATTGGTAGATTGTGGGAAAGCGAATTATAATAACTGCGTTAGGGTGTGACCCACCAAACACCTGTACATGATGCGTTGCTTACCAATCAGAGCAAATGCATAATTTCGTACTTCGGATCCGCACACTATAACCTGCCGATCAGAGGCACTGCAAAGCCATTCCGGTACGCACCTGGACCCGGAGCCGGTACCCGCCGACACCTTGGCGTCGGAGACGGACTCGCGCAGGCGGTGGTACAGCGTGGCGGGGGTGGCGGCCAGGGGGCTGGCGACGGCCGCGGCGGTGGCCCCGGGGGCGGTGGCGGTGGCGAGCTGGCTGAACCGGCGGCGGGGAACGTCTGGTCGAGGCGGCGGGGCGGGGCGAGTCACAACTGCCGAACTCTCCGCGCCCAGGCTCGCCTACGGCAACACGAGATCACGGTGCGGTTTCAGTGAGATTCACCGGTTTATATGACATGGTAGAAGCTAAATTTGCTGTTCCAGATTTGTTGCGAAAGAAATTGACAATTAGTATTCGAAATTTTGAACTATTTCATTAAATAATTTACTGTAAATTTACTTTGAGTACCTCTCAACCTTGAGCCTCGTGAAGGGGAGGCAATGATTGCAAAGTACTGGGTAAATACTCACGACATGGAGAAGTACTCTACAAGAATGCATCATGTGGTTTTAATATTTCCATACTTGTTTTTAGGCAGATGAAATATCTAACTATTTCCTTTTGTGAAATTAATTACTTTTCTCTTACCAAACTGTGCGACTGATGTTATGCGAGTCTAGTGTACGGTAAAAGTGTATTGATGGGTCCTTGTAGATAAGAAGAGTACTATGGTACATGAAACTATTGCAATCCACATCAGTTAAATAGAAAACAATAGGACACCTTTTTGTGGAATACGATAATATGTCAATGATTGTATACGTACCAATAATTGACTTTCCCCTTATTACGCAATTTTTATTTCTTTGTAACATTCTCTTGCTTGTAAACAATCATCGAAATGCATAGTAGTTATCTTTTTCATTTGATTACTGAAATATTTTATTTTCATTCTAAATATTAAACGTTTAGCGTCACACATTTTCTATCAAGCTGCTGAAGATGGACTAACAAACACATTTCACTGCCCTCAGATTTCATTTTGAGTTTTTTATTTATTATTATTATTATTATTATTATTATTATTATTATTATCATTACAAACTAGGTTTGATTCCTCCATACAAGGTTGTAAAATTGATTTACTTCGTGCTTGAGGGGGAAAATGCCAGTTTTAACGTTCGTACCTTAGCTCGTCTGTCACTCAGGTCAGAGTGAACCAATCTGGGCAGACATATCTTGTTTCTCGGGCCCTGATCCCTCTCCCGATCAGTGTGCGTCTTGTGTACCTCCTGATCTGGCTTCATTGTGAGTCGCTTAGCAGCATTCAGTCTGTTGCTGATGCTGTTAAATTTACTCGTTAGCAAATCAATTTTATCTTCTATACACGTTTTTTCCGAGTGATACAAAGATGCGTAATTTTTGAATGAGTGATTGAATTTTAAATCTTTCCGAACTGCATAGTCACCACGGGCTAACGGAACTGACACCTTTTCACGTGCCGATGATAACTCTTTTTGTCTCACTTCTAAACTGTCACCGCACAATGATTTTTCGCCTCCTATTCTTTTTGTTTTCAGACGGTCAGTTGACGTTTTTGAAATTTCTGCGAGAAAGTTTTTAGTCTTATTTTTCTTAAGCTTCTGGAAAGTTGCATCATCTTCTAAACTTTCGAGAGCAGATGAATAACTTCTCACTCCGTTTGGTGTCTTTTGAGACGATTCTTCTCTTCTACCGAAATACCTCATCAGCATTGATTGTTCAGAGGGATGTAGGTGTTGCATTATCTTATCTTTGAATAGTTGAGCAGAATCGTCGTGCACCAATGAGCTGATTCTTTGGTTTTCGCTGTTCATCTTCAGTCTCGGGTGGTTGTCAAGTGATTTCTCGTAAAGAGATCCTTTCGTTAGTGTGTGCTGCAACTGTGAGGTGAACATGACGCGCCAAAAATTACCCGATAATTTTTCGTGCGCGAATTAGACTCGACCGCATGGCATATTAGGGGTTCTCAAAAAGACCAAATGAGCCTGCGGTGCGAGTGTGTTTCCAAAGTTACGACAACAATTGATTGGACGACAGAGTAATGTTGAACGTCCTACAAAAGCTATATCAATTGTACAAGTTGTAAGTTTTGGGCAATACGAAATGTTTATAGTTTGTGAGTTTTTCACAAACTACAAAAAAACAAAAACAAATATACTATCACAAAATTTCAAATAAGTTTTTTATTATAATTTATATAATATAATAAAAAAGCATGTAAAGCTTGAAATTGCTGGTCAAGTAATGAAGAGTGTGATGACTCATGTTCAGTGATACGTAGAAAGAAAACCGAGGACAGTTTTGACAATGACTTTTCCTTCTACATCTTTGACACGCGAAAACTCATTCTTAATTTTGCTGTGCTTTTGCTGCCTCTATCGCGAGGGAAAGAGCAGGAAAAACAGTCGTCCAGAAAGGAAGTCGAGTAGGAAAAACGTCACTAGGAAGACATTCAATAGTGCAATCGGGAATAGCATTAACAGTGTGCTTGCAATGTTCATTATGGATGATACCTATACTATATATTTCTCAACAATACAGTTGACCAGAAAGCTAATGGATTTCTATCGTTTTAATATATCTTATTTCGCAGTTACAATTCAGGGCTTACTTAAGGCTTAATGTCCCGACATTAGTACAATTTGTAGCCAACACGTGGCAGCACCAAAATAAGTAAAATTTACTTTACCGATAACGTCTGAACCCATGGTCCGGTTTTCGATCTGTAAACGGCATTTGACGCCTTTTTAAAATAGAATTTACGTTACGATGATCTTTTTCCAAAAATCTAACAAGCACGCGAATTTGAAATTAGTTCTCAAACTTTCGAGAAGAAATTTAAAAATGTGGCCTTATAGCGCAATGGCGACATGCTTCCTGAATCCAACGCCGTGACAATCATGCAGATCGGACGAATAGGAGCGTCGTAAAGTGAAAATTACGAAAATATCTCGCCCCGCTCCCCCCACTTCCTCTTCTGCTCCGTTGCGTCACCCACCCGCCAGTTGTGGGCCCTCTGTCAGTGCGGTGGCACGGCCAGGCCCGGCGGTTAAAGCAGTGCTACGTCTAAGATTAATTTTTAGCTCTGCAAATAATTCAGCAATTAAAAAATAACAGTATTCTTTTTCAGCTTTATGGGTACTGGCCTGCGATGACCCAGTTATGCTCGTATTAACAAATAACAGAGTTGAAACCCTTATGATCATCTTCTTCTCCTCTACTCCAAGGATGGGTTCATGGCCTGTTCTGGCTTCTACCAATTTCATTTCTATAACGATCTGCCTCTGTGTCTTCTACCTCGCGTTCTACACATAAACGCTTGCTTTAGTCCTATGGCAAGAGAGACAACTCGCATAGTCGAGACATGCGAGCACAACCGCATGGGTGGACAAATAAGCATCAGCACGAAGATTTCATCAAGTTATCGAATCCCACCAAGCGATTTTCGGTGCTAACTTATATACCGCTAGTTCACGTAACAGTGCCTCCCGCGCTTGAGAATGGCCGGTCGGCAAACACATTCGTTAATTTTTTTTGGCCATGTACAACGAATTCCGCTGGCTAGGTGCATTCCGAGAGCTGCGCCCAGACTAACTCCCGCTCACGGGCACTTGAACCGCAACACCTGCACTTGGCCCGAACTTCCCAACTGTTTGTTCTGTGTACAGACCGTGACATTATATAACTATTCAATTAAAATTGAACTAAAATTATAGGAATATTTTGTTTCTCAACTAAAATCTCAATGTGGGTTTGTGTGAGAGTGTGTTTGTGTGTGTTCTTTGCCTGTAATAGATCGAAAATGAAAACTGTAATAATTACTTACGAAATATGTAACGTAATTTCATCCATTACTTTACGATATCAAATCGTACAAAGAGAAATATCAAGATTGTAGGAAAATAAACCATGGAACTCTACAATATACCGATGACGCAGCAATCTTGGTGCCAGCGTGATTATCCCATCTCCCTTGAGGTCGAGCAAGCAGTATATTTTCTGGAAATTTTCAATTTTTCCATCTAGCTCTACCTCTAATAAACAGGTTTTATTATTTTAAAAGTATTTAAAATGACCAACTGGCCACATGTCATACTTTTCAAGAAGTGCGCATAATGTTTTTCCGTAAATGCTTTAATGCCAATAACCGTAAATGCCACTTTGGTTTCTGTATTTCAAATGTTTAAATAATATCCTTTGTGATTTTTGATAAAATTAATAAACAGACTTTGTAAATTATCTTATCTTTTAGGATCAAAATTATATTTGTATGAAAGTTCACAAATATCACGCAATCACGGTTCGGTAGTTTAGAAATGTTCCGCACATTTTTCCAGCATGTTATCTTCAGATACACAAAGACGAACAACAGTGAGAACTGTTAGGTTGCAAATAATAACGTAGCGACAACACGATATAGTTACCATAGGGTGAAGTGAATGAGAAACGAAATTAAAGAAAGTTAATAGTTCCATATAAAAATGAAAAAGAATTCGTGCACACACACAGTGAGTGAGTGACTGCCTGACTGACTGACAGACTGACTGACAGACTGACGGAGTGACTGACGGACGGAATCACTGATGACGGACGGGCACACGGATGGACGGACTGACGGATGGACGGACTGACGGATGGACGGACTGACGGGTGGACGGACTGACGGATGGACGGACTGACGGATGGACGGACCGACGGATGGACGGACCGACGGATGGACGGACCGACGGATGGACGGACCGACG